CCTGAATAAGTGATGGGGTCTGGTGAGGTGGGTAAGGCTGTCCCCCTACTCTGACAATAGGGAAACCAGAAGGAGAAGTGGGACCCCAAAACTCCCTCAGGACTGATTAAGTGTCTCGGTGTCCAAGAGGAAGGAAACAGATTGCCCCATGCTGCATCCTGGGTTCCCTGTGAGCCCATGGCCAAGCCTAGGAGGTCTGCTGGAGGTCTTTGTTTGATGTCCCCATACCACGAGGTGCATGAGGGCCGTCAGCTGACCAGTTATCTCTCTAGGTTACACTTTGAACAAGGTTCAGTTGATGGCCTGAGTTGGGCAGGGCACGCACTAGCCCTCGTGGTCTTCTAAAACAGGGACCTGGAAGCCCTCGTGCAGCTGCCGCTTGGATAGCATGTGCCGGCATTTGGCAATTCTGTTCATGGGCTTTCTCATCTCTCCCAGGGTACCTTAAATGCCACAGCTGAAACTTCCACCTGTGGGGTCAGGAGCCTTGCTCTCTAGATGCTTAAGTTTAGCCCTGATGTCAGGAAGCTCTGGGAGACAAGAGATGGATTTTATTCCGTGTCTTGAATTAGTTTTTTTTTTCCCCCTGATACTTTGCTGGTTTGAGGACAGCTTTAGGAAGACCCACTAGGAGTCAGGCTGTAAACTAATTTCTGGCTGGAGAGCCATCTAGATTATTACGATCCCAATGGTTTGAGGACAGCTTTAGGAAGACCCACCAGGACGCAGGTTGTAAACTGATCTCTGGCTAGAGAGCCATCTGGATTACTATGATCCCAATGTGGGTCCTGATCATAAACTTGTTTGCAAGCATCTTAGCCTGCTTCCAGACCTGTCCGAGCTTAGTGGCCCACCCAGTTTACTGGAGAACAGAGCAGAGGTCAGATAAGATAAGGTTCTTTGGAGTCAGAGATTCCTCAGGTTCAGGAATGCACGTGGGCAAGAGAGAAAGACTCAGAAATGGAGGGTTCAGAGCTTAGGTAAAAGCACAGGGATAAGGTAACTCTTTTCATTTGCCTGTTTGCTGGCAGAAGTTAGATAATTCCCGTGAAATATTGGGGTTCAAGCAGCCGTTACGTGGCCAAATTTACTGGTATCTGGGGATATTTAAGGCATTTCTCAGAGGAGGAGTGGGACCAAGAGGAGGAAGTCTCTATGTCCCATGACTGCAGTCGAGAGAAAAAAATAAAAAATTAAAATAACGAACGGGATCCCAGACTCCCATCCCAGGCATCCCTGGGGGCAGGTAATCTGTGGACCAGCTTCAGCACAAGTTATCCCACCCATTGTCACAGGAGGGGCAAGGGCTGGGGGGGCATACATACCGAGGACCCCCTCCCCAGGAGTCCAGACAGCATTCAGTACTTGCTCAAGAGAGAATGTGTTGTGGTACACAGCCTGAGGACCCCCCGGGGGTCCAGCAGCTTGAGAAATATATGGCAGGCTACAGATGTGGGAAATGGGCAGAGATTGGAAAGGGAAAACTCATCAGTCTGGTTAGTCGGTGTGTTGTGTGTAGCAGTTCCAGTAGCTGGGCAAATGGAAAAAGCCAGCAGGGCAGTGGTAGATCTGATAAACCTTGGTGCAGGGTCCTGGACGCAGAGCGCTGGGAGAGCCTGTCTGATCACAGCACCAATGTTGGTTTTAAATAAGTGGCGCTGGTTACCATTCCTGAGAGAGGCACGAGGCAATCCAGTATCAGAGCTTTATTAGGAGGAAACAGGGGAAAAGAAGAGAACGTGGCCAGGCCTGGGGCAGAGACATGTGCAGAGAGAGAGAATGGGGGGTGGGGGGAGAGCAGAAAGAGAGGGGGAGGAGTCTGTGTCCGGCTTTTAAGGATTCCCCTGCACATGGTGGTGGTGGGCTTATGGAGCTATGCCACGCTTGCACTGATTGCATGACCACACTGTGTGCATTTGCACAATCACAAAGCGCACTGATGATGTAAGATCCCTTGATTAGCTACTGAACTGCGCATGTGCAGTCATGCTGGAGTGGCAGAATCCTAACAGTCACTTCCATTCTTTCTTCTAAGTAATCAAGAGGCACAACGCCACATGATGGGCACAGAGGCGAGTAACAATCTGTCCTTCCAGCTTTTAGACTCCTCCGGCAGGTCTTTGATCACCTAGTACTGATTTTGTAAAACAATGCAAACCTATTTTTAAAAAGCCTTGAGTAACTTGAATGATTTAATGTATTAGAACATTAGGGAACTGCAATTTGTGATACATACACTTTTATCACAGAGGAATGGGTGTAAACAGTAACTGATGTATTTTTCAGGGTGCCCCTTATCATTTAGCAATACCAACATCTCTGTTGAGCAGAAGAAAGGGGCTCGGAACACCAGAGTCAAGTTTTTGAAATATCTTAACATTTAGTGTTGTAGAAGCATGTATCAAGGAAGTGAATGGTTTCAGGTTTAGGGTTCAAGGGTGACACTGTGGTGGACTAACTCTTGAGGGTAAGAAGTTTATTAGAGAGTTATTAACACTGAGGACAGACAGCAGCTCTGAAGAGAGATCTGCCCCACAGGGCACAGTCCAGTACCAGATTTTTCACAGGAAGAGGGGTGGGAAGGAGACTGAAAAGTTTTTTTCTCTTCCTTCCTTCCTTCCTTCCTTCCTTCCTTCCTTCCTTCCTTCCTCCCTTCCTTCTCTCCTTCCTTCTTCCTTCCTTCCTTCCTTCCTTCCTTCCTTCCTTCCTCCTCGTCCTCCTCCTCCTTCCTCTCTCTCTCTCTTTCTTTCCTTCCTTCTCTCCTTTATTTATTTATTTATTTTTTTTGGTTTTTCGAGACAGGGTTTCTCTGTGTAGCTTTGCGCCTTTTCCTGGAACTCACTTGGTAGCCCAGGCTGGCCTCGAACTCACAGAGATCTGCCTGGCTCTGCCTCCCGAGTGCTGGGATTAAAGGCATGCGCCACCACCGCCCGGCCTCTCCTTTATTTTTTTGTCTGCAATTGGCTGTTGTTAGAGTTAAGCAGAATTAGTAATTACTGGGGATCCACAGAAAAGGGACACAAGAATCTAGAAAAATAATTTGCTTTATTTCTAGAGCTTCACTTATGGGAATTGTCACAGTTTTACCAAAATGGAAGAGTTTTTCAAAACGGCATAGCTGTAGCAAAGAGAAAGAACCCGTGTAAAAGGGTAAAATGAAACTTACTTGATAGGAAGATAAGGAAACAGATCATGAGAATGAGAACACTGCAGCTTTGATTTCTGAACTGGAACTGTTTGCTAATCTACAGCTGTGAGGTGAGAGACATACTTGTGATGTTTATACAGGAAGAGTACCATTGACCCACTGCTGAAATCCATGATATTCTGAAAGATTACATCACAAAGATAAGAGAGAGGAGGGCAGAGGCAGGGCAAAGGTTGAGGGGAAAGGAAAAAGGGTATAAAGAGAGAGTAGAGGAGAGAGAGAGAGAGAGAGAGAGAGAGAGAGAGAGAGAGAGAGAGAGAGAGAGAGAGAGAGAATCAGCGAGAATATCCCGGTTATAAGAATGAGTGTCTATCACATCAATTAAGACAGTCAGAACAATTTTAAGTTGAGGCTCCCCACTCAGATGATTCCAATTTGTGATAAGTTGACACAGAAACTATTTATAATAGTGGTCTTTATATTATCAAAACATTGAGAACCTAGTTTATCTTACCAAAGAGCAGTATTTCAGAGGACCCACTGCCTAGCCTACCTCTTGCCTTACTCTGGACCCAGGAAGGAGTGCAGGTAGCCTTGGCTCCCCTCCAGGCATAGTACTCAGCTGCAGGAGAGAGCAGTTCAACACCATTCCCTACTATTTGGGTCTTCCTGTTTATCATGGGACAGGAACTGCAGTGAGCTGATGGACAGCTATGGTGAAGAGCTCTTCAGGGTCCTGCATCCCTTCAGGAGGGGTACTCACATAGCTCAGAGGAGACAGGAGCCTCCCTGGCACAACTGCAGTGCGTAGTGTATTGAGGATGTGGGGTCAGTGCGATTTATGGACACTCTAGGTCCACTTGGGCTGGAGGCTGTGGAGTTCTTAGTGCCACCAATGTCCTACTGCTTGGTAAGGTCATGCCACCTCAGCTTCACCAAGCAGATGCCCAGTGTCCCCTCAGCACTATGGTTCCCTTGTATGTAGGTCAACAGGATGCATCTACACAGCATAAGGGAAGATGGAATCTGAGATTCAGGGGGCAAGGAGGCTTAGCAAACACCAGGATATCACTTATAGGCCATAGTGAGTCACTGGGAGCCAGTGATGGAAACTCCAGTGTTAGCGATCTGTCAGTGAGGCATTTATACATCAGTGTGCCAGCGAGGCCCTGGTTAGGAGCATTGTCTCCAGACCCACGATGGCATCGTTGGAGAGAGGCCATTTTTCAGAGTGTCCTGTTGTGATACTTTACACTAGTTTTCTTTGCAGCTTTGGAACCTGGCTGTGTCATTCAGTTGTCGTCTAAATTTGCCTTGCTGTGGTGACATCACTCATCTCACTGTCATCTGTACTCTGCCATGTAGGCTCACCTCAGAGAAGGGCCACCTCCCCATCTCCACCCACCCTCTCTTGCTCCCATGCTCTGGGTTTGGGGGAAAAATGAAATACTGATTTCTGACATTAGCTTTACCTCCAGCATTTCCCCCAGTGCTAAAGAGAAGCTAAAAGTCACATGACAAGGTTGGTGGAATGGGAAAACAGGTAGCTATCAACTTTCCACCTTCCTGGAAACTCTGAACTTAAGGTTGCATGGTGCCAGACTTCTTAAGAAAATGTAATATATTATTATAATATTTGATCTGATGTTGTGATATGCCAAAACAGTAAGGCAAATGGCAGTTTGGTGGCCTGTAATACCAGCTTTTGGGATTCTGAGTCACCTCAAGGTGAGCCTGTGCTACACAGCAAACATATATCCCCTGCTTCTAAAATTTCCCATGACAAAGCAATTTACAATGTACACACCTTTTGCCCATAGAGAATAGATGTAGAATGTAATTTCTACACTTCTCAGTGAGCATGCAAAACATTAGGAATGTGGACATCTCGGCTGATCAGAACATAGGGGCTGAAACTAGCGTAACCAAGTTCTAAAAATGTTTTAATATTTAGTAAAATAGAATCATGTGTCACTGTGAAACCTGTGTATAAAGAGAGAATGAAATCTACCCAATAGAAGAAAAGGAAGCAGCTCATCAGAATGAGAACACTCCATGTAGCTCTGATTTCTGGAGGGGAATTGCTTTCAAGCCTGGAGCTGTGAAGGTAGAGGACTCGCTTGTGATGTTTATAAAGATGGAGAGCCATCGACCCACTGCTCCAGCCCATTAGACTCTGAAAGATGACATCACGAAGAGTCATGAGAGAGAGGAATAGCCACTTGATTATATTTCTGGAGGGCAGCATATAGCAATGGCCAGTGAATGTTCCAGATGTAGATATGTTCAAGCCACCACCTGCTTTGATGTAGTAGAGCAAGTTGGAGCTTATGAGAACATTAACAATCCAAAAGAGGAGGAGAAAGGGAAGAACTTGCCAAGAGGTCTGTGGTTTTAGTTTTGTCCAAATGGTGGTCCCGGGACTGATGGTGACAGCCTGGACCACGCTGAGGAGACAGGTGGTGCAGATGGAGAGGCCTCGTGCCATCCTTGCCAGATAAACCATAGCTTTACAGCCAATATCGTCGAGGAAGTTTCTGAAATAAAACAGTGTAGCTATATCTGTGACCCCTGTGGTGCAAATAATGATCATATTAGAAAATGCCAAGTGGGTGAGAATAAGGTTTATAGGCTTTTTCTCAGTTCCCAAGGCAGACGTGTACAAATATCTTAGGAATACTATGATATTTCCTACAATTCCAGGTCCAGCAAGAGAAAGGAAGACTATTGCCTGGGTGATGTTGCTCCGTTTCATCTTCAGACTTCATGCACAGCACTAGGAAAAAATCATGGGAAAAAACACATAAGATTTTTCTCTGCTTATTCTGATAAAAAGAATGGTCTCAAGTATGTAAACACACATGGTTCTTTACTATATGATACCTGATCATAGTTTGTTGTTCTTTTGGTTTGCTTGTTTTGTTTTTCATTTTTGGTTTTCAGTTCTGGTGGGAATGATAATAATTACAATCAGGGCATAAACTTTATAGTTTCCCATCTTTCACAAAGATCCTTCATTCTTCAAGTTCATATGACCGTGCTCTTCCCAGACAAAAGCTAAATGCATGGCATCACTTTGGCAGTTTTCCAAACAACACAGTCCTGACAGGCCTCTTCCTTTTCCCTCCTCACACCCAGTGTGACCTCAAGCTCCTGGACTGTGTTGGCTCCTCATCCTGGTCCTCTTCACTGCCCACATGCAACTATCACCTGATTGTTGAACTAATAAAAAGCTTGCAGCTTCTCAGAAAGCTGTTCTTGGTGAAGTGGTCCAGTTTCTCAGGGAGATGATATGGTATTCTCCTCTTCCCAAGCCCTTTGATCATAAATTATACAGATGTGAGTGACTTAGTGAGGGCATGAAAGTCTAGATCACTGGCCTCAATGTGGGACTGTGTGTGATTAAAAGTTGTGTTCCCAATCTTCACAGGTAGAATCATACTGAAGATGATTTTCTGTTTACTCCAATTTATCCTGCTTTTACTCTTTTGTTTGTGAACACTTTCCCCAGTATAACACCAGGAAACTGTTCCTGTAGCATCTTAACAAAGGCATGTCTTGCTGATTTAAGGTTGGTTTAAGGTTTTAAGGTTGGTTCAGTCTAGTGATGTTCCCAGTTAGAAATTCCCCAGCCTGCGAGTCCTCCCCAATCTCTCACACTGTGATTGTCACCATTTTATAAATGTCTTTTTCTCTGTTTTTTTAAACTGTGTTTATTGCAGTCAAAATGATGCCTTTGAAGCAGAAACTTATTCCATGTTTCACCCCTTACAAAATACAGAGAGCTTCACACGACAACCTTAATTTCTATTTGTCCTCTACAATTTGTCATCTTCTCCTCATCTAAATTATTTCTGACTTACCTTGTACCTCCTCTTACAAATGTAAAGTTGGCACTTACCTTTCCACAGGAATATGTAATACCCAAGGCTGGTCTTTCCCATGTGTTACAGCACCCTACTTCCATCTCTTACACTCTCCCTGCTCTCAGAAGGCTGTTGCCTGTGTACGAGCTCACTTCCTGCACTGGGCAATGAGCAGGCCCCACAGACACTGGTTCTGTATATTTTATGTGGGTATTTGCATGATGCCTGATCAACAAGTTTGAAGGTTGCTCAAGGAAGCTGTTGGTTTTGAAACCACTTTAATCACAAAGATGAGCTGACAAGCCATTTTGGAGAAACATTGGCATTGGTCTCTTTCCTTAAGATTGATAAAACCGAGTATCCTGGAGAAGTCAATTCACGTTGGAATGAGCATCTGGTAAGTAGTTAGTACTTCACTTGTGCAATGATGTGAGGTACCAGGCTTCAACCAATTTAGTGAAGGGCATGGGTTATCCTTCAGGGAACTCATCAACAATGCTTTGTTTTCTCTCAAAATCCCTCTGTATTCATTTGCTCACCATTTGACAGCTTTTCAGATGGTCCTATGTGATCACTGAGATGCCAGTAGCAAAATTTATAGTGATGTCTTTGTTTTCCTAAACAGTGTGACATCTGAGTTGAAAAAGCTACCCCCCCAAACACACACACATACATGCACACACACACACACACACACACACACACACACACACACACACACACACACATCTATTCCAAGGTGATTATGAAGAGATATTTACATACATATTTAAAAAGCTTTCTCAACCCTCACTCTTCTAGCATGTAAGAAATAGCAAGGAGCTGTGGCTGGAGAGAGGGCTCAGAAGTTAAGAGTACTGGCTGCTCTAGAGGACCTGGGTTTAGTTCCCAATACCCATGTAGCTGCTCACAATGTCTGTAGCTCCAGTTCCAGGGGATCTTAAGGCCTCCTCTGGTCTCCACCACACATGCACGTAGTACACAGACATACATGCAGGCAAAACATCCATACGCGTAAAATAAGTAAAATTGTTTTGTTTTTTTAAAGGCTGAGGATGTAGTTCAGTAGGTAGAGCACTTGCCTAGCATTTATAAGTCCTGGGATCACTCCCTAGCACCACATAAAACCAGGCATGATGGTGAACAATTCTAATCCTAACACTGAGATGGAGGCAGGAAGAGCTGAAGTTCAAAGTCATCCTCAGATATATAATGAGCTGGGAAGCCAGCCTGGGATACATAAGATACTACCAAAGAGGAAAAAAAGAAAAAAAAATAGCCAAGAGCAACCTGTGTGAAACTAATAAAGTCAGGGTTTTCTTTTGAAATAGATCATGGACTCTAGGGTAGATGCAAGGTCTGAATGTATAAGAGAGAAATCAGTAAATTAGAGAAAGATTATTGCAAAACCAACAAGCTCAAGCTTTGACCATCTATCCTGTCTGTCAGACCCCACCTTTCTAACTGCTCTACTCCTGGCTTTGAACACTTAGCTTGGCCCCTTTAAGGCTCACTAATGTAGGAATGATGCTTGGCACCACTCATGTGTGTTGTGAGGATTCGCTGGAGCAGAGGCGCTAGTGCTTAGGACGTGCCTGCCGAGTGTTAAACACTCTAACAGCACTGTTCTATGGGTTTGTGCCATGTCACTTCCTCCCACGATTCTCTGCACTTGCACACCTTGTGATGGTTTGAGTCTGGACAGGGAAGCTTCCGGAACAATAAAATCACAACAAAGAAGGGCAAAGCCACCCCACCCCACCCACCCTCCAAGCTAAAGAGCCCCAGATCTCAGATACTGTTAAGCAAAACCTTTCACTCCTGTGAGGACAAACATACAAACTGGAGACTGCAGAGAGGAAAAGCTCCTCACACTCAGGCTGAGATCTCAGCCCATGTCTCCTAGACCTGCCTGGGCTGTCATGAGCATCTCTGGCCCAGAGCGCCCCACGCAGCTGCACACGGCTCCTTCATGGACGTGGAAATTTTTCTGCATAGCAGGTGGGAATGAGAGACTGCTTTTTCCCTGGATCTTGCCACCTTCCTCTTTCACAGTGACAGAGGAGCCCAGACCCTTCTCTTCAGCCGCCTTCTCTCCCCATCCTACCTCACAGCATCTCTGTCGGGGGGAAAGGCAGCTTCAGTCCACCGTGACGGGATGGAACACTAACCTGTGGAGTCTGTGCGGGGCTCAGGGTGGGTGTTCGCACAGCACAGCCAGGCCCATTTATCACCCTTGCCCTGTGTTCCCAGCAACCGTCACTGCTGTTAGGATGTCACCATCAGGACTTTCCTTCTCCAGGGAAAAGGGCTCCTTATGAACCTCTCCATCCTGGATGCCACCTCTGCGCTCTCCCTGGAGCCCTGCCATTTGCTGAGGCAGAAACTTTCTGTTCCTAATTACAGTCCCTCTGTGGTGACGAGGAGGGCTGTGAGGATGAACAGCACCCCACCCCCGAGTTTCTTGGCTCCTGGGAATTTTTCCTCCTTTTACTCCCAAGACAGGAATTGAATTGGGAGAAACTTCTGAGAAATTGAACAATTTTCTCTCTAAACATTTCCAAGTTGAATTAACACCAGGGCTGGAGAGATGGCTCAGTGGCTAAGCACTTGTTGCTCCTACAGAGGACCCAGGTTCAATTCCAAGCACACACAGAGAGGTTCACAACCATATATAGCTCCAGGGGATCTAATGCTCTCTTCTGACCTATATGGTCATCAAGCACACATATGGCGCACCAACATCCATGCAGGTGAAACACACATTAAATGAATGAATCTAATAAAGATAAAATTTATTTTATTTTTTTTTAAAGCTCAGTAACACCATGAACAAAACGTTCAAGGGCCCAAGTCAGTGGCTGGTCTTCAGGTGTGGTGTCCAGGGTGGGGCAGCAGGGGACATTTTGGAGGTCTGTCTGTCTGTTTCTTGTTCTGAGTGCTGACTCTACAGAGGAGTCAGCTCCCTCCTGACTGAGTTCTCCATTTCTCCTCCCGCTTGTTTCTCTTGTCTTCAATATCTCAATTTTCTTGCTGAATGTCTAATATGGATTGCTGACTTTCTGGTCTACATCCCGAATTCACCTCTGTCATCCTGTTTTCTGAATCCTCTTTAAGGTCACTGATCAGTTGAAAACAGTTTTTTCTTTTATTCAGTATTTCAAACATTTCATTATTTTCATGTATAATGTAGGGTGTGTGAACTTAAGGAGACTCCCAGGGCGGCTTCATAAAAGAACATAGCCATTTGAATCCAGTCACCATAGGATCAAGCAATACAGTAAAAAAGCAAAAGGTTTGGAGCCCAGAAACTCACCAAAATCGGGTGAATAAAATTTCTAAACTCCAATGGTGCAGCCAGTGTCATAAAGCAGGACACAGCAGAAGCTGGAGAACAGTGAGTTCTAAGAAACCTTGATGAAGTTTCTGGTTGAAGCACTGAGATGATCTCATGCACAGGCTGCCCTGGAGCTCTGTGATGAGAGCAGATCCTGAACACAGCGACAGAGATGCTCAAGACTGCTGGAGGACATCTGTCAGTGGAACGTCCAGCATTCTGGTCCCCAGCATTCACCTTTCATCTCAGCTAGGGAGGGAAGATCCTCATGCTCACCCTTCCCTGTTTCCTGATCCCCGTTTGTTTGTTAACATGTGTATCTCCAGGGTTTACAAAGTTATTGGCTACCATAAAATATTAGTGAAGCTTCAATTTCCAAAGTTGTCACCATGTCAGGAAGAAGCAAGGCCACTGTGGAATCTCAGTGCCTGATACACAGTTTTCATCTCCATCCTTCCACAATTATTTCATTAAACTCTCAAGTTTTCCTAGGCTTAATTATTTATTTTTTACTACATTGTTTTTATGTAAGTTGACATTTCTTTACAGATGTAT